TAAGCCCCTGGCAGGTAGCAAGCCCGTGATAAATGATCATTAACCTCAATATTGTTGAGATTTAGTGGGATGGGTTTTTGACTAAAACAGAGTTTTTGGGAAATTATATTTTGTTTTGTTCAAACACCTGATTTGAAGACACAGTGGACTGGCCCTCCATGTAAAGAGGGTCACTGACTTCCAAATTAATGAATCTGGGGGGTAAAGGGGTTAGATAGAGATAAAAGACAAAAGGAGAATTATCTGGGCATCTATTTAATCTGGATATTAGTTGGATTTATTTATTTTGTTAAAGACAATTCATCTTACCTCTCAGAATAGGGGGAATTATTGATGCTGCAGGAACTACTGGGCCAGATTTTCAAGATACAAATGGAAAGGAGGTCTTTAGAAAAATGAATTTTTGAAGACTCTCACAGGAGGATGGGATGTGGGAAAAGGTTTTGTTTGCGTGGAGTTATATTTCTCAGGTTCCAATGTTCTATTACCCTCAACCCAGTCCTGGAAAAAGGGCAGCTGGGAGTTCAGCAGTGTCAGAAACATGGCCAGTGTTATAACTGGGTGTGGTTCGGCATTGAGGCCAGATTAAAATCTGTTAGTCCAGGTGTGCAGCCCAACAGGGCAGCGCACCACAGGGCACAGGAGAGTGCAGCCCCCTACAGCCGGAGTCCCCAGAGGGCCTGGTGCTGGGAGAGAGCCCCTACTTTGGAAGTTTATATAGTTAGATTTTGAGCTCTTGCAGTGGCTATGCCCATCCTGGTCACTGACTCTCTGGCAGGTGTGATTGAAGGGCAAGCACTGGACACCTTCCCAGGTCACTCAGACCTTACTGGGCATGCATCTGAATGGCCTCTCCAGTCCCAGCCCCCATCAATCAGCAGAGAGCAGACTTCAAAAGTGTTGAATAAAGCTGTATCAGTGGCATAAAGGGAACTGATAGGAACCTTGTTCTTTAGTTTGCCATTAAACTGTTCATGTCAGTCAGGTCAGGGTTTATGTGAAAATTGGCAATATGGAAATGGCTTTGTAATCTTTCATTCTGATATTTGATGCCAGGAGAACTCTGTAAACCAGGTAGGCCACTTTTGATCCTTTGCTGAGAGTTTTCTATCTACACTAAAATAATATAATGTCATCTCCAATTTTTAGATTTTATTATTTGGTAGTATATTCTTTCCCATTACAAATTGAGATTAAATATTCATAAGGAGAGAGGAAGCTTTATAATGTGAAGCAAAGACATCTAAATTATTGTATTAGTTTTATGTTCTGCAGTTACACCTAAAGATTTTAGGTTCCTTATCAAAATTAAAATGAATCTTACTCAAGAGTTTATTAGCCGGTTTGAGAAAATGATATTGAAGTCATACATTCTGCCAGGATATTCCTACTTGAGAAGTATTGTATTTAAAATAATTTGTAGATGTGATTAAATATTGATTCACATATTCAGGATCATGCAGGAGGACTAAAATCTGATTTATATATCAGGTCTTTTGAACATAGTCAATAGGGAAGGGAAGAATAGCTCTTGCTATGTAGTCGCCATTATGAGAGGCATTTTCACATCCATTGAGAACTCTGTCCCCCAGTGTTGGAAGATCCTGGATCTTGGACTTTCATCCTGAGAGCCTTGGATGGAATAAAAGTTTTGCTTCTTAGTGATCACATGGTTTTTGTTTGAGTGCTTAATTTCTCCGAGCCTCTGTTCTCATCAAAAAAAAAAAAAAAAAAAAAGGAAAAGTATTAATAATAATCCTCTAAGGCAGATAGGAGGTTAAAATAAGCCAATATAGGTAAAGTGCTCAGCACAGTGCTTGCCAGAATGTGCCAATGAATTTTAATCATGTGCTGAGCCTCTAGTTCATATATAAATGAAAAGATTTGAAGACAATTTTATGTGAGCCAACTTAATAAAAATATTAGAATGGGTGGATGTGAGTGGAGGGGATCAATTTGAAAAATAAACAAAGGGGACATCTGTAATACTTTCAACAATAAAGAAAAAAATAGAATCAAAAGGGAAATGAGGTTTTTAAGTAAACTTGTTGCAAATCTTTTTATAAAAGGATGAGTGGTCTTATCATGTAAACTTCAGCATTTGAAATGACCCCCTTTCTAAGCTCCTCCTGACTGACCCGGATTCTTCAGGGCTCATTTTAAGTCCCACCTCATTGTTAGTGTTTTCACATCATTGCTTTATTTTTACCTTTCATTCTTTATTCTTTCCTTGTTTTGTTCTTTTATTCCCTATGGCATATCCTGACCTTTTCAACCACACTTTCAAGAATGGTAACTACTGGGCAGATACACTGTAATTTCCAAATTCAAATGTATCAACCTGGCATTCAAAAGCAGTCAATTGATTAGTTTTACTATCTACCAGCTTTGAGTACCTATTGTGTGCCAGATTCTGCACTAGACAGTAAGGATAGAAATATAAGTAAGTCACTTCTATTCCCTGTCTCTGAGCGTTTCATTATCTAATGCAGTAGATCTGTAAGCTGATGATTGATGGGTTGACTGATAGATTCATTCATTCAGTAGACATTTACTGCATGCCTTCTATGTACCAGGCTTTGTTCTTCTAGAGCATACAACTTGAATGATGGGACCCACCCTCTGCCTTTTCTTCATCACATAATAAAATGAAGCTGGTTCATGGTTTGTCAGTCCAAAAAGCTTTTAAGCCAAGTCTGTGAAGGTGGATCCACTTAATGTTTGTTCTGCATTTCAGGCATCATTGTGTGATAAGTGGTGCAGATTTAGTCCCTTTAAGCCCCATCTCCTGGGGGTTGAGTTCAAGCATTGGAACTAATTTGAAAGGACTGTATTGATTGGGCTTTGATTTGGTCTTTCTTTACCAAACAGAGATACTAAATAATGGTTTGGCCTCACTGGTAGGACTTTTTCTTTTTTTTAAAAAAATTCACTTTATAGGTCTCTCTCTCTCTGCCCCCATTTTCCACCTTCTATTTCAAGCTGTTCTGCTTAAAAAGATTAAAGTGGTATGAGAGAGGGAAGAAAAGGGAGAAGGAAAGTCAACTGTCTCACTGTGAATATAATTGATTCAATAAATAACGTCTTTCAATTCCCCAGGCAAACCTCAAAGTCTTCACTTCTGTCAATTAGTGTTCCTCTCTGTAAGTGGTGGGTTCCTAATTTAGACGGATGGGGAGAGTTCACAGAGCTTGCTTCCTAAGGAAGGAGTGTGCGTTTCTGGCTTTAAAGACATAATGTCTTGATTTAGGTGACCACTCTGCAAAAAGAAGCTTGAAGCAGAATTAACGTGTCTGTTTTTCATCTTCTTGAAAATAGAAGGAAGACATTCAATTATTGTCCAGGGGTTTGTTGAAACAACAACAACAACAAAGGAAAATGGGGAGGAAAATCTGTTAGACTAGATGATACAGGGACTTTGTCTTGTTTGTTCACCGTTTATTGCCAGTGCACATAGTAGGTGCACAATAAATATTTGCTGGCTGGATTTCTTAAATGAATGAGAGAAGGAAGGAGAACAATTCAGGTCTGAGATTAAATTTCATTTCAGGGGTTGTTTTACCACCTGCCCCATCCCTCTCCTTCCCCCTGCTAAGTTTTTAAAAGGAGAGTAGCTCTCAAGTATAAGATTGTTGCATATACTGTATCTTCAGACATGAATTTCATCAATTTTCAGACCAGCAAGAGTTGAAAGGGATCTTGGAAGTGATGTCAAGCTACCATTTATAAATGCTGGTAAATGGACTCGTTGTGTTTTAGAACCACGTGAGGTTCTATAAATCTGCAGATTCCAGGCCTCTACACTGGAAGTTGTGTCTGAGTCTGTCTGGATAGGACTTGTCATCAGTATTTGTATTTGTGGGTTCTTAGGAATTTCTGTGAGCATCTGGGTGTGGATAGTACTATCTAGTCAGCTTTGCTATTCCCTGAGCTCTATGGTTTAAGTTTCTTCTTGGGAAAGGTGACTAGCCCAGGAGAATAATTGGCAGACAGTGACCCAGGTGTCCTGACTGATGGCAGTGCCCTTGGTCCTACAGCTTGCTGCTTTACTTACAGAGGAGAATGCCTGCATTCTTTCCTGCTCTAGTACTTAATAGCTGTGTAACTTGGGCAAATTACTTAAACCTCTTTGAGTTTCTGTTGCCTCACCAGTAAGATGGGGTAAGAATGGTACTTGCTCTGAGTTTATGTGCATTAAACAAGGTGGCCTAGGTCAGCTGTCAGGACACACTGAGAGATGGAGATCTGGGTGCAGAGGGTGATTGAAGAGGACCTTAGGGACAACTTGTGAGGAAAGCAGGATTAGGCCGCAGGTGACATTGAACTGTGACACAGTTGCAGTGAAGGTCTCAGCTGATCCCATGGGGAGCTGGAGATGAGATGCTCCTCAGAGTTGTCCCGAATTGAGGGAAGACGGCCAGGCCTTTAGACCCCTGTATCCACCAGTCACTGGATGTGGTCTGTTCCTGGAGAGGGGACTTGATCTCAGGGAAGGCAGCCCTTCGGCTGAGAGGGTGGCTGTGTGTCATCAGCAGCTGACAGTGCTGTCAGATGGTAGGGAGGGAGGATGCCTGAGTGTATGTCCTCAGAGCACCCAGCACCCACTACCCAGGATAATGCACATAAAACCTTAGCAATTAATGTAGAACCTTTGTGAGTATTCAATTAATAGTAACAATTGCCATTATTATTCCAGCTCTGGTAATGCCACATAGTAGATGGGCCACTTTTAAGAAGTTAACTTCTCTGGACTGTCTTCTTATGTTTAAAATGGACATCCTAAACCCCCTCCTTCCCTGAGTAGTTCTGAGCACACATGGAGATAATGTATGTGAAATTGGTGAACAGATTAGAAAAATGCATGGCGCGACTGTGAGCCTATGTTTTGGAAATGAATATTGGCCCGTGACTTGGATTCCTTGAAGGAGAGGGTTGTGTTCAATGTAAAAGCTCTCGTCTGTGAAATGTGGCATTTTGAATTTTCTTCCTTCTCTCTACAGGGAATTAGAATAATGGAAACGCTGCTGAAGGAGCAGTGTGGTGCCCCCTCAGCCGAGTAAAGAACCATCAGTGAGTACCAAAAGCCAAACCAGAATTGGATACTCAAGCCATGTGTTCATGCTTATAAGCTTGGTGTTATGCATCTGCCTCCTTGGGCTATTCATGCTGTACATTTCCCGGTTGTATGCACAGGGGATGATCTCACAGGTGTTTCATTATCTGTTCTGTATCTTTATTTACTTGGTTCTTTGATTTTCAGAGCACTTTTGTACTACGTGCTGGGTTATAACTGCACTCAGCGCAATCCAACATAATTACCACTCATAAGGTGGCATAGATTTGTAGAGACTGAAGCTCAGCTTAAGCAGAAGCTTTAATTTTATTCTGAGTACAAGGAAAGGAGGGATTTAGAGTTTCGGAAGGGACATCTTGACTGGCCAGTGAAATAAAGATTATTTACCAGTTATCAATTGGGGATGGCTGCCTGAAATGCTATGGAGAAGGACTCCGAGGCCTTGAAATAATTCTCAAGCTCCAGGTCAGAGTGTGTTGATTGATTAGCAATGTCTGTCACAGACACAGGATGGAAGAAAGAGCACTTTTGCAGGAGCACATGCCCCTTCTAGTTTAGGGCAAATAATGCAGGGTTAACAGATAGCAGGGGGATTTCAGAATTGCATCAGGTCACCTTGTGGTGGTGGTTTAGCCTTTTTTAAAACGTAGCATTTGATCACGTCTTTCCTCTTTTCCAAAGTTAATCATGTGACAGCCTATGTTCTCTACATTAGCTCCTGACATCACCCGTGTTGTTAAGACATAAAAAAAATTGAAGTGAATACAATGGACATAAAAAAAATTGAAGTGAATACAACGGTGAAGTTAACATACCAGCTACAGCAATCATTAAAATTCCTCATAAAGTTCCAAGGTGCATAGTAGCATAGGCGTACAGGCATCTGTGTGGCAGGTAACATGGTGCTGTGGCCGTGTGCTTCATTTACCAGTTTTGGACTTTTGCAATTTTTACATTTTAATAAAAACATTCTGTGGGGTTTGCACAAATATACATAAAGAGACATTATTTTTATATTTCTACATGGTAAGGAGATATCTATATTAATAAAAGGGTAATATGCTAATTAGACCAGATAGAACGGAAGTCGTCTGGACAGTCTTCCTGACAAAGCCAGGGTGGCGGGGCCAAGGCAGAGGTGGTTATGGGCAATCAGGCTGGTAGGGGAGAGTGATTAGGAGCTATCAGGCTTCAGGAGAGAGCAGTTAAGGGTGATCAGGTCAGTAGGGGAGCAGTTAGGGGCATCAGGCAGGCAGGCAGAGTGGTTAGGGGCAATCAAGCAGGCAGGCAGAATGGTTAGGGGTGATCAGGAAGGCAGGCAGGTGAGCAGTTAGGAGCCAGTGGTCCCAGATTGTGAGAGGGATGTCCTACTGGCAGTTTAGGCCCCATCCCCCAAGGAGTCCTAGATTGGAGAGTGTACAGGCTGGGCTGAGGGACCCCACCCCACCCCGTGCATGAATTTTATGCACTGGGCCTCTAGTTACTTAATATTTCTTTATGATGCCACATTTCAAATTTGCACAACTTACAAGCCTATTTTTGTTTTGTTTGTTCATTTATTTTGTTCTTGGATTCTAGATATAAGAAAATCATATGGTATTTGTCTTTCTTTGTGAAAAATTTTGTTCACAATTTACATTCATATAGAAATATGACTACATTGTGTGTGGTACCTAGCCCTGAAGATACTCCCCAGCACTCTTTGGCATATGTGTTCAAGTGGGCGTTGGGCAGTTAGAAAGCTTAGCAGGTGATTTTTCTCAAGAGCCAAACTGGAGGCTCATAAATCTCACTAACCAATATGGTTGTGGTGCTGCTGCTGACATGTCCATTGGATAGATTTTTGATTTCCTGTCATTTTTGAATAAAACAAATAGCCATGACATATATTTGTTCTTGCCTCTGGCAGTTGGGAGACCAGGCATGGTGAGGTTCAATAACATAGCAGAATTCTTTCACATTGGAATGATTAAGATCTCAGTTTCAACTATATCTTTGAACTAGCTCCTTTAGGTGGTTGGACTTAATAAAACGAGATGCTTGCTCTGTTCCAAGATCATTAGGAGGCAGAAATGCAATTTCTTCGAAAATTACCCGTAGTAATAGAACTCAAGTGACTCATGTAAGAGTTGTTTGAGAAAAGAGGGCAAGTAAGTATTGATTGGTGAGACATGTTTATGAGGTGTTAAAGCCTGTTTGCTTTCTCTTGCAGGGGAGCTGTGTTGTGTCTACTTTTGCTCAAGAATCACTTCTCGGACACAACATATCCAAGACTCAATTTTGGAAATGCAGGTTTAAGGATGCAGTATCGGCAGCTTGAAGAAGAGGAGACTTTCCTGCCAGGACCTGAAATGATACGCCTCCCTGGGAGCCAGCCTCAATAGTGGCACTCATGGAGATAAGTCCTTCTAGCTGGATTTTTATGGCATAGACTCTTCACGATTTTGCAAATAAAAGGAAGACCCACAGAAGATGATGTTGCCCTTCTTGAGGATGTCCTGCAGATGCCTGGTGATGTGTTTGGGTAGCCAGGGATAGGCTTGGACACTGGTGTTTGTGCTTTTATATGATCTGTATCATTGCCCATAGGATTCATGAGAGGATTCTAGGACAAATAAAGGAATCAAACCTGATACCTATTCACAGGTGGCCTGGAACTGACAGGAATATACCAGACCTGAGTTGAAGTGAAGGCACATCTATAGTTATGATGAAGATTCTCAGAAATTGGAGCATTGGCTTTAGACCCATGAGTACTATGCAATTGCCATCATTATCACTTTTATAATGTAACATGTGAGCTGTGGTTTGGTTTGCTGAAAAAACCTTGGATGGAGAATGGGGAGGTTATGTGTGCATAATCTTGGCTCCTACTAGTTCATTCTGAGATGTGGAGCAGCCATAACCTTTCTGTTTTCACTGGGCAAGTGAGGATAATTGGACACAGATCTTACTATTTACTACCTGTGGGTTGTGATGATTGAACAAGGCATTTAGTGTGAAAAGTACGGGTTTTGGAGTCAGAGACAGACCTCGGTTTGATTCCAAGCAATACCATGCACTAGCTCACTAGAACACAATTTTAAACCTTTATGAAGCTCAATTTTTTAAAATTTGTAAAATGGGATGATAGAATTAACTTCGTGAAGTTGTTGGACCAATTTGGATCACATATATATGAAGTGCCTAGCATTCCTGGCACATAGGAGAAGTCTATTAAATAGAAGCCATTCTTATTATACGAAACTATTTAGAAAATGTCCTTTTCAAATGTAATGTAAAGTAGTATTACTGTTTGAAAATTAGATGACAGTAGTTTGCATTTTCTATGATTGGAAGCAAAACTATAAATGGATACTACTAACTGAACGCTTGAAAAGAGGCAAAATTTGGAATTCATCTTAACATAAAAATTGGTCCATTAGTGGAAAGTAATAGGGAAATTGTTTTATTTTTTTAATATTTGAAATATCTCCTACTTAATGCACTGATGAATTTCAAAGCAATTGTATTCTTCTTTTTATACAAGCCTGCCACTGTGAGCCTCATCTTATTGTATTTGAACTATTTGTGCTGCCTAAGTTTTGTCTCAGGATGATTTCTTCTCGTTTCCTTAGTGTTTTGTTCTCTAATTGTGCTTGAAGGAAAATGAGTGGTAGAAACCAGAACACACTTTGACCTCCTTTTCCATTTTGTAAATGGCATTTTGTAGGCCTTTGTGATAATTGCCCACTTCCAAAAATAAGATGTGATGTGAATTATCACAGAGGTGAGAGGCAAGAAATTTGTATTTGAAGACTGACAGTGAAATAAAGTTAACCCTTTATACTCAACATCTTGCATCCTTTGAAGACAGGAGTTCTCAACCTTGGCTGTCCATTAGTCTCACCGGGGAAGCTTTGTGCAGTTCTGATGCCCTGGTTATAACCCCGATCAATAAATCAGAGTCTCTGGGCAAGCATCACTGTTTTTTAAAGCTCTCTAGGTGAATCCAATGGGCAGCTAAGGATGAGGACACTACGATGTGGATACTATGATTTGCAGACATCTGATTTTTTTCTTACCACCTCTGAAGTAGGAAAGGATCTTTGTAGTAAGAAATGGAAACAGTGAAGCACAGAGAAGCTGAATTGTTGCCTGAATTCCTTGAAGCTAGGGTGGCCAGTGCAAATGCCTGAAGCAGGTCTGGCAGGTGATCTGATGAGTCAGTGGTCGGCAAACTCATTAGTCAACCGAGCCAAATATCAACAGTACAACGATTGAAATTTCTTTTGAGAGCCAATTTTTTAAAACTTAAACTTCTCCTAATGCCACTTCTTCAAAATAGACTTGCTCAGGCCGTGTTATTTTGTGGAAGAGCCATACTCTAGGGGCCAAAGAGCTGCATGTGGCTCGCGAGCTGCAGTTTGCCAACAGCGGCTATGAGTGAAGCAGGCGGTGGCCACTGGGGAAACGCCGCGAGCATGCGCCTGGAGCAAGGTGATCAGTGGTGGCCCGGCTCCAGCACAGTGCTGCCACGTGGCTGGTTTGGCTCCTTCTTCCAATTTTCAATCTTCCAGAAAAAGAGAGACTTAAGGAAAAAAAAAAAAAAAAAAGAAATCTGATTTTTACATGTTGGTGACAAATTCGGAGTTGTTTAAAACGCTGTGCTGGCCAAACAAAATATGCTTGCTAGTAGTTTCCAGACTCTGCTTCAAGAATATAAAGGACCAGCCTAAACATCCCAGCCAGTGTTGAATATTTGCATCTCCCTATTCTGGGTGTAAGCTGCCTTCTGTCACTCCTCTGAGCCTGCTTTTAGTAGATATATCTCCCTCCATTTCCCCAGAACTCGCTGGACTTGTATCAGCCACTTTCCCTCACTCCTCTTGTCTCCTATGGGCATCCCTTGCAGGCCTCACATCTACGGCTTAAGAAATCTTATGCTTTTAACAGAATTTATTAGGGCTTGTTAGAGTTCATTTTTATTATATGTCAGAATCCTTTTCCTGTGATGAAATATTTAGAAGCCCACATTTAATTTAATTTTTTTAAATCCGTAGTTTAGTCTAAGAAATGTCAATACCAGGAATGCAGCCTTATTGGGCACCTTAGGAACATGGGTGGGAAAAGGTTAATTCACAGACCTGGATAGTCTTCCCCTTCATACTCCAGTGAGTCCTAGACTTCCATTTGTCCCAGAAATCCTTAGACCCTTGCGGGGGTGTAGGGTGCAAACGTGCTGGTATCTGGGGCCTCCCCCTGTGATTCTGATTCATGCTATTTTAGTAGGGCTGTGTGTGTGTGTGTGGGGGGGGGGGTGAGAAAGGGGGGAGGGGGTGTTCTATATTTTAAAACATATTCCCCAGAACAGTTGAGAAACACTGCTTTAGCAGAGGTGTTTTTGGCTTCTGCATCTTTTATCATTTAAGAAGGTTTTGCAACCGTTGGGCCTGGTAGTCATTACATTTGGTCACTCAGGACACAATATAAAGTTCGTATGCAGAGAAGCTGAGTTAAGCTATCTTTACATGACTGAGGTGCTTTTACCATGAAGAGGTGGCTTTTATGGTTTTGGTTATATATGGATTTAAAAAAAACGGTGCTATCTTTGTTTTATATAAGTAGCATATGTGTAGTAAGGTCTCATTTATCAGACATTGTGGGGTGCATGGTCTACACAACTTAAGGTTGTCCTTCAAGTTGCTTTGGGGCTTTATTGGAACCATTTCCTAAGTTAGTATACTCTTCCTTGCTTTTGCAAACCAGAATCTGCTTAAGGTGATGAAGTCTTTTCAGGGTCATTATTTGTGTTCTGAATTCTTGCAGGTCCTGTTTAGCTTTGTTAAAGCCCCTAATGGTCTTGCTCTGAGTTCTGGAGATGTGATAGTTTTTCTTTCCTCTCACTGTTATTTATCATTTCTCTCTGCCAATACTCCGCATGCCTCTAGGAACTTTCCTCTCCTGTGCTGTGTGGGAGTTGGGGAACCATGAAACTCTTACCGCATGTCAGGTAATGGTAGGCAGGCTCTGAAGGAGGCTCTGAGAGGCATTTCTGGCATTACATGAATGAACATTGCCGTATTGACTTAGTGACATTATTTTAGCAACTCCCCTACCTTCTTCTGACTCACTTCCTGATCCTCAGCTACCATGTCAGACCTGTGACAACAATATGAGTGAGAAATTGCTACAAGTGGTTTCTCTTGATTTTTAATCTATCCCCCAATCGTGCTAATATTTTTACATGTACAGTTTTATGATGTGAAACTTAAATAGATTAAGATGCAAATGAACATTTCTCAGGCCAAGATTTTGTGAAGGACAATAAAGTGTTTTTGATTCAGTATGGTTGTGATTGGAGCTATAAACTCGTTGTCTACCTATGAAATTCAATCCTGCAGTCATTCTGAAATAAAGGTGTTACAAGTCACATTTATGTGTGGATTCTCATTTTGTGGGGTATCACAACACTCAGCAGAGCTTGTGTTTATCATTTGTCCTAATGACCCTGTTTCTGGTCAGTGTCCCCAGATGAGGGTGTTATACCAACTGTAAGTTAGGGTCCCCTTCCCCTAAGGTGAGCCTTTAAAGTTTCTCCTAGAAATAAGCGCAGGTCACTTGGGTGACTCCAGTGGGCCATGTGCTAAAGGAGCAAAGGACTGGGGTCTGCAGAAGAAAGAAGCACAGCAGGGACATAGCAGCATGAAGTCAGGCTTCCCAAGGACCAAGGGGGAGAGAGCGCAGCTGCTGTTGACCTTTGAGGCACAGTTGTGCTTTCCGTACTTTGTTGCCGTGAGATTTGCCTTTATCATAGGTCCCCCTTTTCCTTGGCTGCATTTGGGTTTCTGTGTTTTGTTGTGGGGTGCCTTGTCCAAGCCACATGGATACCTTCCTTTTGTGAGAAAGGAAGTGGGTGCCTTTACTCCTGGGTGCCTTAGGAGTAGAGTCATTTGTTTTGCCAGCACTATTGAGCACCTACTGCGTGCAAGAGAAAGGCAGGATTTATCTTTTCAGTCTTGATCCAGTGGGTTTCCAGAAGGTTTGCACCAGCATTGAATTGACAGGTGGCAATGGTAGGCACCAGTTGATGGTAAGACCAGGAGCTGTTATCTCTTGGGTAAATCAGACAATTATTGCTTACTTAACAGATGCAGCAAAAATCAGCACAGTGGAAAGATCAGCACAAAAATGTGTAGTTTGGTGGCCCCTGAGCCTCACCAGCAGATTGCGTAGTTGTAGATGATAACGTCTGACTTAGTGAGAGGCCCATCATACCTTTCAGCAGATAGCCAGTACCTTATACACAGAGGGTGGAGCTGGCCTGCATGAGACCACCTCCTCCAGCCACAGAGCAGCTCCACAGCACACAGTGACTGCAGGACACTGGGTATCCAGGCTCAAACATCTTTTACTTTCAGGCTGTCCTGGCTCAGGACCTCCCTGGACTCAGGGCTGCCATGTCAGCATGTGTTTCCTGATGTCTGGGCGGGGCCTACTCACTGTTTTGGGTTAATCCTGCAAACCCCAGAATCTTAGCACGGGGCTTGGTGAGACTGAAGTATTATAGATAGAGAGGTAGCGGTCTGAGAATGACAAATCCGGTGCAGTGGGATTCCAAATAGAAATTAAGTTAACTTATTGAAACAATTTTTAATGAAAGTTAAAATGAAGTATTTAAATGTAAAATGCAGCATTTCTTGCATACCTGACTGCCCACTGACACCTGCTGGGTGGATCTCAGGTTGAACTTTAAAAAATACTGATGTTCAGGTCCTACCCCCAGAGATTCTAGGTTGCAGCCCTGTATCAGGGTTGCAACAAGTTTCCTAGATGATCCTGACGGCATGAGCAGTGATTCTGATCAACTTAAGAAGTGATGTCTGTTCTCCCATGAGTGGTAACCCTTAATAAGCTAGCTTGAGGTGGGAGTGTGCAATATAAGACCTCTCTGACGTTTTGCCTCTAGCCTTTCAGAAAAATGTCATTCACTGTCCAAGAAAAATGTGCCCCAAACCTGGCTGGTGTCCCTAAATGGTTAGAGCATCATCCTGCACACCTAAGGGTCTCAGGTTCCATTCCTGGTCAACACACCTGAGTTGTGAGTTCACTCCCTGCTTCCTGATTAGGACATGTGTGAGGGGCAACTGGTGTCTCTCACATCAAAATGTTTTTCTCTTTCACAGGGATGTTTCTCTCCCTCTCACCTTCCTTTCCTCCTTTCCTCCATCCTTCCCTTCCACTCTCGGAAAAGCAATGGAAAATATTTTCTGGTGAGGATGAACAACAATAACAACAAAAGAGATGTTAGAGATCCCCCACCATGGGCAGCCATGATGAGCTTTATGATAAAAAGTTTGGGTAGTGTTTATTAGAACAGAATTCCATGCAAAAAAAGGATCCCCTAGTAACTCAAGGCCTTGCTTGTCTGCCAGGGTTAACCTGAGTCGTTGTACTGCTCGACCTTAAGAAGTAGGTCTCTGAGCTCTGGACAGGCTTGCTGTGCAGCAGGCGACCAAGAGGAAATAGCAGCCACCATCCTGCTAAATTAAACTCCATGGGGCTATTCTCCAGCATTATCGGAGAAGGTTAGAGCCATTTCGTGCCTGCCATCTGTTTAGGCTGCTGATGAAATCATTAATTCTCTGTGTTGGTGCCAGGATGAACTTTGAGATCTGGTGACAAATGAGAAAGCGCCAACCGCCCAGTGATATGTTTTTGTTTTTCCATTTTGGATTTCGGTGTCTCCCTCAATTCAAAAGTCCATCCATTGTTTAAACTTTGAAATGACTGCATTGCCTGTTTCTGGAGATGTTGAGGGGAAATTATTTTCTGGAACGAAGCTCCTCTGTTATTTGTGTTTGTTAGCAGTCTCATCAAAACCCAAGTCACTCTTGTCAATCAGTCCAAAAACAACAACAAAAAATTCCCCTGGTCTCAGGGCAGGGTTTTACAAAAAGCAACCAGAAAGAATTGGATGGATGAACGAATTACCCCAGAGTATAGTTATTGTAAATGGAAACAAAGTATGGGGCAAGGATAGGGATAAAGAAAGGGGGGGGGGGGAAACCTACCAAAGTCATATCTGTCACTGATTAAATGGTAAGAGTGACTATAAAGATATCTTTATTGTCTGAAATGACATTTCAGAGAATTGGAGGATATTGCATGGAGGTTAAGAGCCCTTCAGTTCATGCTCCTCCCATTTTTTTCTGAACATATCCACAGATAGAGCAGAGAAGTTCAATGCAGCTTTTCTGCTGGTATCTTGGTGATTGGATCCAAAGCCCTTGGAAACTTAGTCCCATTTGAGACACTAGGTGCATGCTTTTTAAATTACAGTTTTAAATGGGATTACATTAAATATCAGAATACAATTGGAACTAGTCCAATATAGAAAGTTGTCTCTTTGTAAGTGTAAAGTCAAAAGTTAGTATTGTCACTTGTTTCCTTGAGTGTTAATTGTTCTGTCAAGTGCTATGAGGACCATTTCTTCCTGAAAAAAAATGAATGCTAACAATGTTTTGGGGCCTTAATCCAGGCAAGGATTTTGTAGAGAAAAGTGGGAGAAGAGCAAAGCATTAGCCAGGCATTTATTCACGCTCCCACCTCTCAGCCATCTGCCTGTGAAACCTCTTCCTGGGGTGTTATCACCTGTAACTTCAAAACAGGGTATTGGTACCTGGAGGGTGTCTGGTCATCTCAGTGAGGTTATGTGTGAAGCCATGTGATGGATGGGCAAATGCTCCTTTTAAAGCATTACTTTTTTCTCAAAGATTTGTAAGGAAAACATTATTATTATTATTATTTTACATAAAAACCAACATGTAACTTTGTAGAATATAAAATTGGAATCGATTTATCGTTTTGAAAAAAGTGAGACTTAAGAGACATTTTGCTTGGATCACTGCTTAGAATGCTGCCTGGTACCTTGCAGGCATTATATTAGGATCAATAGAATGTCAATATCCCAGGAGAGCAATTAGATATGCTCAAGACAAGCACTTGGCAATTAGGGCATCCCCAGATGCTGGGGGTCTGTGGGAGTCAGGTTTCTCTCTAGAAAAGTTAGAGAAGTCCTGATGTAGACCACCTCCAATCCCTGGAGCTGCCAGAATTCCCAGTCTTGGAGTCAGCCTGACATCCCAGCAGCATGGCTGTGGCCTGCCAGTATCTCATAATACAAAATGGGGCAAATAGCCAGTAAACTTTGCCTTCAGCGGGCCTCATGGCTTATTTTGAAGACAGAATTAATGTAAATTTTTAGTTGTAGAGAAGGAAGCACATAAGTAGAAAGAGCATATATTGAATATGACATTTTAAATTATCTTTGTACTTTTTGCAGGGAGGAACAATCTTGTTTTCTCTTTTGGTTTAGAGAAAACACTAGCCAGGACAATGTTATTTGTCAACACAATATTTTTAACATACCATTTTCCCTAAATACTTATAGTCTGACACTTGCTCTACAGATTTTAATCCAGTGCTTGCTAAAACCAATGGGAGAGGGTATAATTAGTCTTGGTGGGGTAAAAATAACAACCATAAGGAAAAAATTAGTGAAGCAGTATTTTGCTTCTTGATTTTGGCAATTACTAGTATAGTGGTGTAGTTGGTTCTACTATAGTGAAACTCTTAGCTTTTCCAAAGACCTCTTTTCTGAGAGATTTTTATTTTTAGAAAATCTTTATTGCTGAAAGTATTACATATGCCCCTCTTTTTTCCCCATTGACCCTTTCTGGCCCATCCCCAATCCCTGCCCTAGGCCTTCACCGTATTGTCTGTGTCCATGGGTTATGCATATATGTATACACATTTTTTGATCTCTTCCCACCATTCCTGCCTTCCCTCTGAGATGCAACAGTCTGTACCATGCTTCCACGAGTATATCTTTGGATATATATTGTTTATCAGTTTATTTTTTTCATTAGATTTCACAATATGAGTGAGATCATGTGATACTTGCCATCTAGATGGAAATTGTATAGCAGTTGCCAGCAGGCATAACTTTTATTGTTATTTACAAAACATACATATTTCTATTGAGAATGCCAACTATGGTCGTATCCCAACTTTTTTTTGTTGAAATAGCAGGTCCTGGCCAGTTATGAATTTCCCTTCACCAAAATGAAATTTGACAATAAATTTGGCATTGGGTTAAGATTAAAGTATAAGAAATCTGAGTGTTTTAGTGTCCGATTCCAATATGGCCCAGGAGCCTGCACTGGGGTCCTGGTTGGGCTATGCTCTCACTGTGTACATAAGCCCTCTGGGTTTCATTTTCTTCCTATGGGAGGGAGTATAATAAGGTCTATTTTATAAGGTTATTGAAAGAATTAGAAAAACAGTTGGAAGGGTGCCTGGCACATAGTAAACACTCAGCAATCTCTGGAAGAGATTGTGTTGAATTGATGCTAATTCTTTAAATAATTT